ATCGATAGCCTGAAATACCTGGCGCAGGGAAGTTAGTCATAAGGCCGCTCCAAAGAGAAAAGACCGAGGGAGAATGTTGAGGAGGAAGATCTTGAGGAGGCAGAAGATGTGGTGGTGGAAGAGACAGACAAGGACAAAGAAAGTGCGAGGAAGGAAGAGCGAGAGGAGGAAGTGTGTTACGTGAAATGCGTTTTTCTCTCTCTCCTGCTTTCACTCTCTCCTTCTTGCCCGTGTGCAACCAACCGTGTTGAGATCTTAAAAGAAATGGAGCGATCTTGATAACAAATGGAGCGTTTACGTCCACTTGATTAAGGAAAAGAATTAGGTCGGGTGTTACGAAGGAAGGTCGGCCGGTCGAGGGAGGAAGGGGGAGGTAGGGAGTAGGACGGAGGGAGGAATGGGAGGAGGAGGTCAGGTGGTGATCGGGCTGAGGAAGGAAGGGAAGGAAGGAGATCGGGGGCAGGAGGGGTTCAGACAGAGATCAGGCTAACGAAGGGGAATGAGGCGGCCAGGCGGACGGAGGCCAGAGGGAGGTTGAAGAGAAGGTGCGGCGGAGGCCTGTAGGGAGGGGAAAGGCGGCAGTGAGTAGGGCGGAAGCAGGAGGCCAGGTGGAGGTCGGGCCAAGGAAGGAAGGGGAGGAAGGAGATTGGCGGAAGGAGGAGGTCAGTGCAAATCGGGCGGAGGAAGGAGTTGGACGGAGGAGATTGGGAAGGAGGTCAGGCGGAGATTGGGCGAAGGAAGGGGAGTGAGGTGGCCAGCCGAAGGTAGGGCAGAGGAAGTTTTTAAGAGAAGGTACAGAGGAGGCCGGGAGAAAAGGGAGGCGGCAGGGAGAAGTAGGGCGGAGGGAGGACAGAGGGCAAGCAGAACGTAGCTCTGAGGTTGAGTGACGTATGGAGGAAGGGAAGAGGTAATGGGGAGACGAGCATGGGAAAAAGCGTGAAGAGGAAGAGGAGGAAGTGGACGGAGGCCGGGAGGAAGGGAAAAGACGGCAGGGTGAAATCGGGGGGAGGGAGGGCAGATGGAAGGAGGAGGGAGGGCAAAGGTTGGGTGAGGTACGGAGCAAGGGAAGAGGTCAGGCGAAGGTGGAGAGAGAGAGAGAGAGAGAGAGAGAGAGAGAGAGAGAGAGAGAGAGAGAG